CTTCACAGGAAAAAAGGCTTCCACTGCCAGGGAAATGTCACAGGGAACAAACCCATGACTCCCTTAAGAAGCCACTACCTAAATGCCAAAGAACAGAAAGAGGATATATGTGATATATGTATTATATATATTACATGTAACAACTATCTGTCATACAGATCTATAATGCATAGCTCATGCATGATACGAGATATGCATTTCCTTTCACTAAAACAAAGGGTTTTTTTTTCTTTTACACATAAAAATCTACGGGCATCTTTATCTGGTTCAAAACTATATTCTTCTAAAAGGTGAAACTGCAATGCATCTGCATTGCTGGCACACTACTAGACAAGGCTGAGTTGAAGCCTTTGATGAGTATAGGTATCTGTGGGAGCTGGATAAAAAATCCTGTTCTTCTCCGGGGCTCTGACCCAGGGTGGTGTGAGCCAACCTTAGGAAACTTGTGAGGGTATCTTCCTAGCTGAAAGCCTGCAAGGCTGTGTGGCAAAGTGGCTTAACTAAGATTTTAATTTTCAGAGAGGTTATGTTTCAAATTGCATCATTGCAGGTGATCAGACAAAAGGCAGAAGGTCGTATTGGTTCGTTACTTCAGTAGCTAAGAAAACACGGTTTAGAGAAGGCAGGTTTTGCACATCACTATGTAGTACCGAATAGGGAATGCTGTGTTACCTTACTCAAATTCTTTAATGCATCTTGGTGAAACAGTGACAAAGACCAGACTCAGACAATTTATTTTATGCAATCTAATGTCACTTGGACTACAGTTGAGATTACTTTAGGTAGCAAAACTTATCAGGGTCCATCCAATTGAAACAGTATAGATTAACTCTGTTGCCATAGAAACACATGATTTTGGCATAGCAAACACAAGAACAGTACATCTAGCCTGGTTATTTCTAACTAAGAACTATCATCTGATTCAAGGGATGATTAGATTAGAATAAAATACTTATTATATGCACCTTTTCATAAATTTGAGACTATAAAAACACACCATTCTTGGAGTTATCTAAAACTGGTGCAAAATTACTTCATTCTGATCTACACAGAAAAGCACAAAAATTGCAAACTCACAGATGTTTGAACCAGAAGCAATCATTTTGGGAATATGGTCTAACTTTATGTGCAACAGAAGCAATGTCACGTATGTCAGTCATTCCTGTGTCAAGTTCAGCTCACGGCTGAACTACAACTCTTACCTTTCAGACAAACACCCACTCCCAATTTACAGACTCTGTGTCAAAGAGGAATTAACACATAGCTTCCTCATCTGTTCCAGTGGTTACAATCAGTATAACTGTAAACATTTTGAGTCTTACTTAGCTGCCTAGCTTTCAACCAGTGCAAGCTTTTAGGTCGTCAGCTAGTCCATGCCAGAGATGCATAACGCTGGGTAGCTTCTTCACAGTAAGAAGTTACTGACTCAGAACATCTTTCTTATTAACCTTTTATTCCCAACTAAATAATTAAAATATGTTATTAAGTTTATGCATAAAGATTAAGCTAATACAGTTTTTCACTCTCCAGACATTTTAGATTGCAAGCAAAATTTATACATGTATACATTAGAAAGAATGAGATACTGGTAACAGTAACTCAGTGGAACTGCATTCTGTGTTTTATCTCTGGAACATCTTCACATTAAGAAGACATTCATTCTAATGACAAATGTAACTCAGAAACTGCAAAATACTGAGACAATATTCACTGAACTAAATGTACTCTTTCACCACATATTAGATGTCACTTTCTTTTCCCCTTGGGTAAACTAAACACAAATGAAAGCTCACAAGTGATCAGAATCCCACCATCTCAATTTTTGTGTGCACAGTACTACTGTTCTTATGCAGCAGCTCTGGTTGGAAAGCTCACATACGCTATATTTCTCATTGCAAGAACAGGAAACTTCAGGCAGAGAAAATGTTTTAAAATGGCTACACTTGCTAAGCAAGATAATTCATGTATATAACTGAATATATCATAGAATCATAGACTAGTTAGGACCTCAAGATCATCTAGTTCCAACCCCCCTGCCATGGGCAGGGACACCTCACACTAAAGCGTATTACCCAAGGCTTCGTCCAACTTGGCCTTGAACACTGCCAGGGATGGAGCATTCACAGCTTCCTTGGGCATCCCATTCCAGTGCCTCACCACCCTAACAGGAACGAACTTCTTCCTTATATTCAGTCTAAATTTCCCCTGTTTAAGTTTTAACCCGTTACCCCTTGTCATGTCACTACAGTCCCTAATGAAGAGTCCCTCTCCAGGATCCTTATAGCCCCCTTCAGATACTGGAAGGTTGCTATGAGGTCTCCATGCAGCCTTCTCTTCTCCAGGCTGAACAGCCCCAACTTTCTCAGCCTGTCTTCATACGGGAGGTGCTCCAGTCCCCTGATCATCCTCATGGCCCTCTTCCAGACTTGTTCCAACAGTTCCATGTCCTTTTTATGCTGAGGACACCAGAACCGCACACAATACTCCAGGTGAGGTCTCACAAGAGCAGAGTAGAGGGGCAGGATCACCTCCTTTGACCTGCTGGTCACGCTCCTTTTGATGCAGCCCAGGATACGGTTGGCTTTCTGGGCTGCAAGCGCACACTGAAGCCGGCTCATGCTCATTTCCTCATCAACCAACACCCCCAAGTCCTTCTCCACAGGGCTGCTCTGAATTTCTTCTCTGCCCAACCTGTAGCTGTGACACATTGGTTATACCTGAACTCAGTGATTCTTATTAAGCATGTATTCTGTTTAATTCTATTGGCATTTGGGGTTTCTATAGGTGAAAAATATACCAAAGATGTTTCATGTGTATTCTGATTAAGGAGGAGACTGGAAATTTCACTCTGCCGTATTAGAAATTTCAGACACAGTTTTTCTTCTTTGATACTTAATATTGCCTGTTCTAAGCCAAACTGAATATGCTGCCAGAACAGCAACAATATTTCTTCAGTTCTTGCTTCTTAATAAAGCCAGGGGTCCCATTTGTGCACTTCTGCCAACCAGCAAGAGCTCATCCTTGTTTTGGTTTGGTTTTAAATAGCTGTTCCTCATCTGCTAATAAACATGAGCCAGTGCCTGGGCTAGGTTGGCAACAACAGTGTTTTCCCACACTGTAAAGCGTAAGCAGAGAAAACTACATCTGCATGTTGCCGATGTCAAAGTTCAAACTATCTCACTAGCTCCTATAGCTTTATGAAATGCTGCTAAGAACAGAACAGAAAAACAGTCCTTACAGAGCTTTGCAAATGGAAGTACTCACATCTTTGATGTAATCATTCCTGCCAGGCAAAGGAAAACAGTTTTGGTAACTGTCTATTTGTCTTGCAATCTCCATCAGACAGGACATTATGTCATTGTGGGCAATGCCAAAAGCAAGGGACAGGTCTGAGCTGATATGAACAGAAAGCTGTCCCCTATTTATTAAAAGCAAGTAACTAACCCTCAGTACTATTAAACCTGATGCAAATCAATGACTTCCAGCTTGTGTGAAGTCTAGGATGTTGGCTTCATCTGAGACACTATAAGCAGCTGCTATATTACTTCTCAGTGGAGTGGACCATTTGATCCCGGATGGGAGTCAGGCATAGCAGGTGAAATCTTCATGGTTCATAGGACTTAAAATGTCATTATGATGCGCAATATTAACATTATCAATCTCCCACTACTCTGATGCAACTGAACTGGATATCGCAAGACTTGAGACTAACAGAGCTCTGCTGATTCAGAGGCCAACCCATTCCCAGAAGTGATGGGCAGCACTCTTTAGAGCACCCTACTGTTCAATTGGTTTGAAGGACCAAAGAATTTGGCAAGACACGCGCCATGTGGATTAGGACATCTTTCTAAACATGAAAGAAACAGAAGTCATGACAGCACTATTCAAAGATCTGGACTGGAAGTACCATGCCAAAGGACAGCAAAATAGTTTAATAACTCATACAATCCAACATAACTTTGGAGCCCATGCTAATCTATGAATACGATCTATGCAACTTTCTTCCTATATCCAAAACTTCATTTGACATATTCAAGATTCCAAAACTTCCAAATATTTTCTGCTTCACACATCAGTAATTTTCTTTGTAAGGAAACAACATATTTAACTCTCACATACTCTTCAGCAGTTTGATTGCATCTGTAGTCACTGCATTTCCGCAGAACAGTAAACACCTACATCATGGCTCCTTTCAATCTCCCCCTTCATAAAGGCTACAGGCGTAATTTTTTCTTTCCTTACACTTATAGCACCTGCAAATATTTGTCATCCTAATAACAATATTCTTCTACATTCCTGAACTATGGTGCCCAAAATATGTAATTGCTTTAGAGGTGCTTTCACCCTTTCTTTTTATTTTGGGAGTTAGGAGAAAAATACAAATCCTTATTTTCTCCTACCCATTCAGACAAACCAGTTTTACTTTGTTCGCATTTTGTCTCAAATTTTCTTGACTTTTCTTAACCACTGACTTTCAATATTAGACACATTCAAAATATGTAAAATCCATCAACAATCAATTTCAGATTTAAAAATAACCTGATGCTAGACAAATTTTAAAGCAGACCTGTCAGAATGTCATTTGTGCACGTTTCTTTAGAGCCACATTCTGTCTTCATATGCATTTACCTATCACAGAACTGTTTGCCATCTCAATATGCTGCATCTTTCAATTCAGTGAGGCATCTTTTAAACTAGATTGAACTAAATTCTTCTTGACCATTCATATGCTATTATCTTCAAGCCTGTTACCCATTGGCACGACACTTTTTAAATCTTGGAAGCTAACCCAGCTAATATATATTTCAGAATCTGACAAAAAAATACGATAGTTAATTGTATCTAATGACAGGAGAAACCAAATTACTTTAATACAGGAAAGTCACCGAAAAGTAGGAAAGGACTGCTTAAAAAACAAAACCAAAACAGACATCTACAAATAGGGATCATGCCACCATTTAACTACTGGAAATGTGAGAAGTTAAATGATTTATACTTACAAAATATTTTGTCCTTGTAGACAGTTTAGTAGCTTGCAACATGAATTCCTCTAAAGTTTGGTTTTCACTCTGCTTTGAAGAGAAAAATATCTGTTAAACATTAGCAAAAACAATTACTTTTTTTCCTAAGGGTGTCTACTATTTTACTCCTCACCTGCTACTACAGCACTGGGTCCCCAGTGCAGCAGCAAGGGTGGGCATCTCTTAGCCTGTCAGTTTTCTACATCAGTCTTCATTGGCAAAGGGACAACTAACAGGTAAAACAGAATTAACAGTAGGAAGCCTAGCATAGGAGAAAATTAGCAGGGGCTCGAATGGACAACCTCCAGATTTTCCTTCCAACTTGCCTCTTTCTGCATTTCTTGGGGTGATTTTTCCTGGCAGAGCACCTTTACCAACTAGAGGCAGATGCAAGCAACAACCATCCAGCCACCTCCAAACCTGTTCCATTCCAGAAAATGTCCCAGCTCTGTCTAAACACAAAGATGTCCCTAATGCTGCTGCTGGTAGTAGCAGTTTGTTACAAGAATGAAGAGGGATTTTTGAAGGAGAATTCTGCCTCATGCTACTGTTCCTGTTAGGCTCCAGACACATTATCACCAAAACTGCTGCTGTCAAATTCAGCAGATTTAAAAGGACTTATAATTTGTTAAAGGTATCCATTTTGCCACTCAGTTTCTCACTACTCACTCACATTTTACCACAACAACCTGTGACTCTGAGTATTTAAAAGCTTATGTAAATATGCTAGCTCTTTAACAGTCATATGGGCATGACTGTCAGCTTCATGCTCTCTTACTATCACCATAATTACAGAAAGTGCAATGTGTAAATTTTGTGAGACCTTTATATATGGGAATAAATCAGTTTCCTCACTGTTTCCTAATCCCTTCTTCATATACACTGAAATGGAGATAACTTAAAAGCTGTCTGGACACAGTCCTAGGCAGGTGGTCCTAGGTGGCCCTGCTTAAGCGGGGTGGTTTGGGCCTGATGACCTCTGGAGGTCCCTTCCAACTCCAACCATTCTGTGAATCTGGAGCTCTCTCACTTTACATCTGGTGAGGACTTCTGCCTTAGGGCTTTCAGAATGTGTTGAGATACGCTGCTTTCCATCCCTGAAAGGTGAAAACACTTAACAACCAAGTATGGCAATATACTTAGACACCTCCTGTGAGATTGAACACCCACAAACTTAAGTTACTAACTTCTAAATACATTTAAGCTCATAGCAGAGCTAAAATGCTGTTACTTACGTTAACATGCAAAAAACATATCCCAGTGTAATTGCTCATAAGGACTTATATTTGTTAAAATTGCTTCAAGTGTTGTCTGACAATCATAAAAAAGAAGTGGCATTTCACTGGATTCTGTCCATTTATTTATCTTGGTTAATCTTTAGATGTTATCCCTCTTCCGAGGTCGCAAACTTAATAGAGGTATCTACACTGCTTATATGTATGGTGGTCCAGTACTACAATCTGTAATGTAACATCACTGGGTTATTACAGAACATTGCACCTTGCCATGGCAAGAGCCCATTACCATACCAGTTTGGAAATGTTTGGCTTGATACTAGACAGACATTTGGAAATTCTTGGGCTGATTTTTCAATTCATCCTGGACTGTAAATACAGCCAATGTATGTAAACAAATATTACTGTAAATGGAAATTCTGATTTTTTTTCAAAGCTTCGGTAAGAAAACATTTTGCCAGTAATTACCTCTATTGTTTCATTTTACAACGAACATATGGAGAAATTACTTTGAATCTCTGTGAAATTATGTACCTCGTGTTCCGAAGGTGAAAAAAACTCTATAGTTCTTTATTTCTGAAGATACTACCTTTGTACTGATGTGCTTCACAGCACAATTGACAGAATTCAGAGCAAGCCAGAATGGCAGATGTTCATATTCATTTTGAAATCACATACACATCCCACCTTCTATGAAAGCACATTTGCCCCTGCAATACTTCCTTTCAAACAAAAACACTTGTACATTTTCTTCACATCTAAAAAAATCCCAAACCAACATGCTTAGTAAATTGAATAGCTATGGAATATTTAAGTCACCTTAAGCGTCCTTCCCCCCATGCAATTTACTTTTACTCCTTGCTGTGCAGCTCTGAATTTCCTCTGCAGTTGAGGTGGGCAAAAATATATGTAGCTTCTAATTGCTGGTCCTGCACTAGCCCTACTAAAAAGTGCATTCGTTCTCCATGACAAGCTCCATCTCTGTTAGACAGCATCTCCACATCTTCACCAGGAACCAGAGGGGGAATAAGCATGCAAAGATGGTTATATTTTAGAATGAGAATACACTCAAGCTGAGAATCCAGGTGCTTTTGGACTTCTTCCCACAATGACAGCTTCTCAATGAAAGCATCAAAGTGATTTTTTTTTTTTTTAGACTAAAATGAGGAGGATTCCACAGAAATCATTCTAACAACATGTGACTTTTTTCTATTCTCTTGGCTTTCTTCAGCAGTATCCCAAGTGAACTATTACTGAATGGCAAAGATGTAATTAAAGTCCAGGGACTTGTGTGTTTCATCTGAAATCTTGATGGAAATACAAATTTAAGGACATTTTGCAGGTTTTCTCTTTTTATTTCACATAGTACTCCTCTCAAAGGGCACTCATAGCAGCGGTTCCCATTCTGGCCCTAGGTCCCTGAGGAACACATCAGTGCTCCTTCAGGGATCAATAGAAGACCTCAACTGTGAAACTGAGCCACCATTTACAAATAGGGGTCCTTGCAGGACAAAGGACCGGGGAGTTTTAAAGTGGAAAGAGGGAAACCAATATGTAGTTTTAAAAATAACTCTGTTCAGAGATGAGAGGAAACAGGGACATTTTAGAACTGTTTACTGTACGTGCCACAGTATCAGGCAGCAAACTTAGGGTTTTATATGCCATGTATTAAGCAGAAGGCATTTTCCCCATTGGAAAACAATGCCAATAACTGATATAATAATTCTTAGCATGTTTCACAATGAGCAATCATTTTAAAGAAAGAGATAAATATCTGGGAAGAAATGCTAAACGAAATGTAATTTTCAGCTCCAGTTTCAAACACTGCTCCCTCTAATGAGTTATCTCATTTTAACTGTTTCACATCAAGTAGGGTACAGACCCACAAGTTTCCATTAAATGGTTTCTCTTTACCTTAACTAGTTTGTAGAGTCACACTGTAACCAGCCATTCAACCTGGAGGCAGGCATCTCCTATAGTTAGCACTGGGTTTTCACAGATACTCAGCTCTCTCCTGGTTGTGTGAATTGTTATAAGTGTTCAATGCTTAGAATCATAGAATAGTTAGGGCTGGAAGAGACCTTAAGATCATCTAGTTCCAACCCCCCTGACATGGGCAGGGACACCTCCCAATAAATGATCTCACCCAAGGCTTCATCCAACCTGGCCTTGAACACAGCCAGGGATGGAGCATTCACAACTTCCCTGGGCAACCCATTCCAGTGCCTCACCACCCTAACAGGAAAGAATTTCCTCCTTATATCCAATCTAAACTTCCCCTGTTTAAGTTTTAACCCATTACCCCTTGTCCTGTCACTACAGTCCCTAATGAAAAGTCCCTCCCCAGCATCCCTATAGGCCCCCTTCAGATACTGGAAGGCTGCTCTGAGGTCTCCACGCAGCCCCAACTTTCTCAGCCTGTCTTCATATAGGAGGTGCTCCAGCCCCCTGATCATCCTCGAGTCTCTCTGCAGGGCTGCTCTGAATCTCTTCTGTGCCCAGTCTGTAGCTGTGCCTGGGATTGCTCCAACCCAGGTGTAGGACCTTGCACCTGGCATGGTTAAACTTCATGAGGTTAGCATCAGCCCACCTCACAAGCGTGTCAAGGTCCCTCTGGATGGCATTCCTTCCCTCCAGCATATCAACTGAACCACACAGCTTGGTGTCATCGGCAAACTTGCTGAGGGTGCACTCAATCCCACTGTCCATGTCAGCGGCAAAGATATTGAACAAGACCGGTCCCAACACCGATCCCTGAGGGATACCACTCATTCCAGGTCTCCAGCTGGACACTGAGCCACTGACCACAACTCTTTGCATGTGGCCATCCAGCCAGTTTTTTATCCACCAAGTGGTCCATCCATCAAATTGATGTCTCTTCAATTTAGAGACAAGGATGTTGTGTGGGACAGTGTCGAACACTTTACACAAGTCCAGGTAGATGACATCAACTGCTCTGTGCCTGTCCATCAGTTCCGTAGCCCCGTCATAAAAGGCCACCAAATTGGTCAGGCAGGATTTCTCCTTAGTGAAGCCATGCTGGCTGTCACCAACCACCTTGTTGTTTTTCATGTGCCTTAGCATGCCTTCCAGGAGAATCTGCTCCAAGGTTTTGCCAGGCACAGAGGTGAGACTGACTGGTCTGTAATTCCCCGGGTCATCCATTTTCCCCTTCTTGAAAATGAGGATTACATTGCCCTTTTTCCAGTCATCGGGAACTTCATCTGACTGCCACGATTTTTCAAATATGGTATCAGGGTGGCTGAAGCCCCCCCCCATGAGGATAAGGGCCTGAGAGAGTGAGGCTCTTTCTATCTGTCTATAGAGCACTTCATCCACAGAGTCTTCATGATCAGGTGGTCTGTAACAGACTTCACAGCTCTCCTTTTAAAAAATCAAGTCATGTCTGTTTCCATTTCCAATCCTTCTGAAATTTAAAAATCCACTGCTACACGCCCAATAAGCCCCCAATTTCTTTCGAGTACTATGAGGTCTCCATGCAGCCTTCTCTTCTCCAGGCTGAACAGCCCCAACTTCCTCAGCCTGTCTTCACAGGGGAGGTGCTCCAGTCCCCTGATCATCCTCGTCTGGACTTGTTCCAACAGTTCCATGTCCTTCTTATGTTGAGGACATCAGAACTGTACGCAGTACTCCAAGTGTAGCATGACAGAGCAACTAGATGGTTTCTATTTTGGAGATTGCTTGCATTCAGCCACAAGAGATGAGTATTGTCTGCACAGGAGCAGGGACACTTTATGAATTTTAGGTACAGTTATCCCTAAAGCTGAAGTCAGTAGGCTTCATGCCTTAAAA